CTAGCTAGCTAGCTAGCTAGCCAGCTAGCTAGCTAGCTAGCTGGGTAGCTGGCTGGCTAGCTGTTGTGTTCAGGCCTGCGAGCCGGGAGTGCCGCAGGCGAAGCTGTTTGTGGGGAGTTTGCCGAGGACTTTGAAGGAAGAAGAACTCAAGGCCTTTTTCCAAAACTACGGAAATGTAACCCTTTTTTAGGGTTTAGGGTTTAGGGTTTAGGGTTTAGGGTTTAGGGTTTGGCTGCTCGTTGTATTTCTGTCTTCTTCTGTGAGGGTTTAGGGTTTGGGTTTTGGCTGTTCGTTTAAGCCGCCTGTTTGTTTTATTTCTGTTTTTTTTGAGGGTTTAGGGTTTAGGGTTTAGGGTTTAGGGTTTGAGTGGTGTTTGCGTGGTTTTTCGTTTTATCGAAATTTATATTTGTTGCATTTAAATCTCTTTTATTATTTTTTATTTTTATTTCTTTTAATCTCTTTTTCTGATTTCTTTTACTTCCTTTTTCTCCCAGAAAGTGTCTCCTTTTTGTCTCTCCTGCTGCTGCTGCTGCTGCTGCTGCTGCTGCTGCTGCTACTGCTGCTTGTGGGGAGGCGCGTGGTGCTGCTGCTGCTGCTTGCGTGTCTGCTGCTGCTGCTTTGGTGTCTGCTGCTGCTGCAGCAGCAGCAGCAGCAATTTGAGGTCTCCGAGTCTGAAACTTTCGCGTTTTCTTCGCTGCTGCTGCTGCTCCCCGCCGCTGCTGCTGCTGCTGCTGCTGCTGCTGCTGCTGCTGCTGCTGCTGCTGCAGGGCCTCCTGGTGCGAACATCTTTGTGTTTCACGTGCCGAACGAGTGGAACTACTTCGACTTGTTGAATTCTTTTTCGCAGTTTGGCCAAATAGTCTCCGCCAGAGTGGCCATGGACAGACAAACTGGCCGCAACAAAGGCTATGGCTTTGTGTCTTTTGAAACTCCAGAAGCAGCAGCAGCAGCAGTTGCTGCAATGAATGGCTTTTTGGCGGGGGGAAAAAGACTAAAAGTGACTATAAAAAAGGGGGAGGAGCAGCACGCCGTGCGGCCCTCTCCCGCTGCTTACAGCCAGCAGCCAGCAGCAGCAGCAATGGGTCCGGGGGGCCCCCAGGGGGGCCCCCAGGGGGGCCCCCAGGGGGGCCCCCGCGACCAGCAGTGGGGCGCCGCCGGGTACGGGGCCCAAACCCCGGGAGGGTACGCTGGCGGCCACGGGGGGTTCGGGGCCCCAGGGGCCCCCCAGCAGCAGCGCTTCGCCCCCTACTGAGGGTTTAGGGTTTAGGGTTTAGGGTTTAGGGTTTGGGGTTGGGGGTTGGGGCGGCGCTGAGAGGGAGGGTTTGGCGGGCGGAGCTGTGCTTGTGTCGAGTGTACATACACCCCAGAGGTTGGCTTGGCGCGGGGCGAGTTTGCGGCGGGAGATCTTTTGGATTTAAATAAAAGTTTCGAAAATAATAAATGGAAATTAATTGAAGATTTCGGAGAAATAAAAGTGCTTTTGAAGGGTTTTGTTGGCAGCAGCATCCGCGGGATGGGTGTACGTACAGCCGGCGCAGTGGTGGTCTCGTGGCGTCTCCGTGTGGCTGCTTTGCTGCTGCTGCTGCTGCTGCTGCTGCTGCTGCTGCTGCTGCTGTTTGGGTTGCCTGCGGTGCCTTCTTGCTTCTTTGTTTGTTCTTGGGGCTGCATGCGTGGGAGACCGTGAGGTGTGGCGCTTCTTATTTCTGTTTATTCTGCTTCGATTTATTATTATTTATTTAGTTGTCTTATTTTATTTTATTTTGTTGGTTTAGCGTCTAGTTGTGTAGTGGGGCCTGAGGTGTACGTACACCGCGCTTGTTGCAGTGTCTGTAGCCTAGAACTAGTGCTGCCATTTTATCCTTCCCAATATTATTATTTCAATTGTTTCTGCTCTTTTTACTCCCTTTAGTTCTTTTTTAGTTTTATTTATTATTATTTTGTCAAAATATCCTGCGCCTCTGCGGTGTACATGCACCTCCTGCGGTGTACATGCACCTCTCCGACGCCCGCGCGTTACGTTTCCTTGCTACTGTCTCATAATCCTATCATTATCATCCTCATTATCATCATTATTATCATTATTATCATTATTATTATCATTATTATCATTATTATCGTCATTATTATCATTATTATCGTCATTTTCTGATATCTTGCTCATTCTTTCATCCAGTTTTTGGCCGTCAGTCGCGTCTCGAAGTTGCCGCCGCGGTGTACGTGGACCGAGGACTTGAATTTGGCGTCCGTAATATTTGAATAGTTTTATTTGAAATAAAATTGAAATAAAATTAAAATAAATGAAAATGAAATGAAAATGAAATGAAAATGAAATGAAATGGATCCAATGACCGGCTTCGCGTGCGCCCTTTTGCTCAAGACCGGAGAAGTGAAGGTGCGCGCAGTTCGGGTGTACGTACACTGCAATCAATGAGGTGTACATACACTGCGCGCAACTTGAGGTGTACATACACTGCGCATGGGGCTGTGTACGTACACTCGAATAGAATGGCACGTGGCTCCTCTGCAGTGTACATACACTGGAGTGCGATGCAGTGTCCCGGCCCGTGAGGTGTACATACACCGCAGCTACGTGGAGTGTACGTCGACACCAGGAACGTGGGGTGTACATACACTGGAGTAGTGGACGCTTACACCAGCAACGTGGGGTGTACATACACTGCAGTGAAGTGACTCTGGCCGCTAGAGTGGGGTGTACATACACTGCAATCAGTGAGTGTAGCTCGCACCAGCAACGTGGGGTGTACATACACTGCAGTGAAGTGCACGTAGAGCTGTAGACAGTGGGGTGTACATACACTGCAGTGAGTGCACGCATGCGAGGCCAGAACTTGCGGTGTACGTACACCGCAGAGAATGGGTTTACTCTTCCCTGTCTAGTGCACGTTCCTGCTGCAGTGAGCTGTACATACACTCCAAAGTGCGAGGTGTACGTACACCGCAGAATACTGTAGTTCGCTGCTGAGGTGTATGTACACTGCAGTGCAGCGAGCTTTGATTTGAATAGTCCGAAGTTGTAAACGAAAGCAACACCTTGAGGTGTCTGTACACTGCAGTGCGGTGTATGTACACTCGAATGAAGTGACACAGCTGCTGCTTAAGCACTAATAGCCACTGCAGCGCTCTATAGAACAGCAGCAGCAGCAGCAGCGGCTTTTGAAGCAGCAGCAGCAGCAGCTTTTAAAGCAGCAGCAGTTTTTAGAATGCCGGGGAGTTCCCCGGCCCCGCAGCGCCGGGGTGTATGTACACTGCAGCGAGGGCAAGCATCAGCAGCCTACTGGGGTGTACGTACACTGCAGCAAGAGGCAGAAGCAGCGGCAGCTTGTTTGAGGTGTACGTACACTGCAGTGGAAAGCAGCAGTTTATTTGTATTGTACGTACACCTGAGAGCTCACTTTTATTGGAATTCTTTTTTTAATTTGACTTTTTTAAAAGGGTGAAGTCGCTGCTAGTGTAGCGGTGTACGTACACCCCAAATGCGCGAAGCGGCTCTCAGCTGTTGCGGTGTATGTACAGTTCTCTTCCGTATATACACCTTATTTGCAGTTGAATTTAATTGAATTTCTTTTTTGTATTTATTTTAATTTCGAAGAAAGCACCAACTTTAGTGCAGCTGTAGATACACTCGAGTCGGAGTGCATGCAGTTGCGGTGTACGTACACTGCAGTTTCAAGGCGTGTTTCTCTTCGCCTTTGAGGGAGGAAATGAACATTTAAATGCACTTGAAATGTAAAGAGGAAATATATTTATTTCTGAATTTCTATTTAATATTATTTAATGCATATAGTGCAAGTAACTGCAGGTGGAGTTGCCTAAGGGCAGTTTACACGAAACAGATCTGAACTTGTACGCGCCCACATGCATTAATATCTATATATATATATGTGTGGATATAAATGTATTCATATTTAATATATATATATATATATATGTGTATATTTATATATATATAAATATGTGTATATATGTGTATATACGTATAGTTATAAATGTATATGTCTATATATATATAATGTATATATGTGTGTATATGTATATGAGTGTGTGTTTATGTTTGTATATATATATATATATATATATTGCTGCACGAGGTACTTTCGTGTATGTATATGTGCATACTTGCCTATCCATGTATTCATATATGTATGGATATATATATGCATATAAAAATATATATATATGTGTATATGTATGGATATATATATATACATAGGTATAGATATATATATATATATGCGTATATGTATATATGTATGTGTATGCGTATGTGAGGTATTGTTATGATGCATACGTGGACATTTATGTTGTTGGCTGATACATATATGTATGTGATACATGTATATAATATATATAATATATAATATATATATATATATTATATATATTGTATATTATATATAATATATATTATATATATTGCTTTACACGTATATTTGTAAATATATATACATATGCATATGTCTAATATGTACATTATACGTGTATACATATATGTACATATATATATAATATATATATATATACATATATATATATATATACATATTCATATATATATATATATATGATTCAGAGTGCATATGTACATATATATATACATATATAAATACATATATATATGTACATATAGATGTACATATATATATATATATGTGTATATATATATGTTTCAGAGTGCATCTATTGTGTGCATTTGAAGATATATGGTGCATGTGCATGTAGAACAACAAAAATAAAAAAATATAATTATAATATAAATGTGTAGAACAAAACAAAAATAAAAAAATATAATTTCAAATAGGCATTGGACTTAAATGAGCTTAATGGCAGCGACTTGGGACTTTTTTTGGAGCTTTTTGCGCCAAGTTTTCTTTAAAAGAGTTATTTGATTCTTCTGGCATTTTCAATTTGTTTTTAATTCATTTTGAAATTAAATTTCGCGAAAGTTGTCTTTTGAAAGATATGCTATTTGTTCCATTTGG